GAAAGAAAGTTAGAAAGAACACATACTTGCTGTATTAAGTTTAAATAAGCAGAAATCAGCACAAAAATCAGGAAATTAGTTAAAAAAATACGCAGAAATGAGCAAAAAAAGAAAAAATATCTGAAAAGCCAAAAAGAAGCTTAAACTACCAGAAGGAAGCAGAAAGAGCTGAAATGAGCTTAAATAATATGGAATTAGCTGAAAAAGATAAAATTAGCATCATAAGAGCTAAATAGTAGCTGAAAAAGCAGAAAAAGCAGAAACTAGGAGAAAGGGCTGAAAGAAGTTGATATTATCTGGAAAAAAGTGAAATTAGCAACAAAAAAAAAACAGCTGAATAGTAGCTAAAAAAGCAGAAATAAGCTTAAGTTACCAGAAGGAAGTAGAGAGAGTATATTTTTGCTGAATTAGGCTGAAAAATTTTTTGAAATCAGTGCAAAAAAATGTGGAATTAAAACGAGCATAAAAATAACCAAATAGTAGCTGAAATAGCAGAAAAAGCTGAAAGTTGCAGAAATAAGCTGAAAGGAGCATAACAAGCTAAAATCAGCAGAAAGAAGTTAGAAGAAACACAAAAATGGAGTTAGCAGAAATAATCTGAAATGAGCAGAAAACAGCTGAAAAAAAAAACAGCTGAAAGAAGCTGCAAAAAGTTTAAATTTGCACAAAGAATGTGAAAGAAGCTGAACCAGAACAAAATGTGAAAGGTTGTAAACAGATCTAAATATTTGAAAGATGTAAAATGAGCTCAATTCATTTTCTATGAGAACAAAATGGCAGAAAAGGCTAAATATTTCAAAAAGCTAAAGTTGCAACAATGCTAAAAGTTACAACAGGATTGTCCTGAAAGAGCTGAACCTTTTGAAACATGATTTGTTGAAATAGTTTGAAATCTGTGGGACAAGAAAGATGCCAAAACATGTGGAAGAAAAATGGATCACAAAAGTGTGAACACTTCTTAAACCATAATAACTCTCAGCTACTACCACACAAACTTTGAGCACATTATCAGTAAAACTGACTGAATTACACCTGTTATTGTGTTTTCTAAGGCCAGTTGGCTCTGGTGACCATCATGAATTAGACTGAGTCCAAAAGTTAATGTTCACTCTGTGAATGTTTTATTGTCTGAGACTTTCATCAATAATCTGTCCTGTAGTTCATGAGATATTTTGGTAACAGTCCAAACAGACACAGGTAAAACATCCCACCACTTTCCCCTTCTGTGCATTAATGAAGCAGCTGACATTAAAATTCCCCCCACAAATAATTAATTGGATTTGTCGGGCGCTGTGCAGAGAGGGTAAAAACATGGCAGTTGTTGAGGACTTTTGTGAGTCTCGGGCAGACGTGGTCACAGTTTAGCTCAAGAAGAGGACTGTCAGTGGCAGTGTGCCCACGGAGCACACACCAGACCTCCCGGCTGCTGTAAAAGAGACGCTCTGTGTGCAACAGCTGAAGTTTTGACAGCCTCGGGGTGCGACTGCGTGTGGCCGTGGACCTGTCAGGAGAGGTGCAGCTGATGAGGAGCAAGTGTGCTCGCTGAACCATTCCATGAAAAAATAAAGATTTCCCACAGAGGGGAAAGAGTCTACTCGGTGCTGCCAAAGGCATAACGGCATTTTAGTACGTCTATAAATACCACACGGTTTCCTTCTGCTGCTTCCTACCTGGAGGAATGGCTGATCATCTGAAAGTACAATGTTGTTAAAGCGATCCTGACTGATATTAAAGACGCCACGCTTTAATAGAATGCTTTGTTAATAATAAATGCACTTATGAGAGTTTTGATTTGTAACCTGTGCTCAGCTGTTGCGTAAAATCCGTGTAAACATTTACAGGGTCTCTATAAAGCACTTAAAAAAAAAGAAAACGAAACAGCATCTTGACCTCTTGAGCACTCTGCAGCCAAGCATTAGCAAACACAAAGATGACTCTAACTCTGCCAGTTTGACACATTTAGAGCTTTAATTTGATGTGGCGGAGTATTATTACTGTATGTTGCTGTTTTTGAGATCTCACAATATGACGTGATTTTGTACCAAACGGCATTTACAATGTTTGATAAAAAGGCTATAATTTTGTTGTTTCTTGGCATTTCTATGTGAAATTCTAACATGAAAGGCAGAAGGCAATATGTTTTTCTTCAAGGACTGCTAGGCCTTTAATGCACAAAAGCTTCCAGTTTCATTTTATAAACAAGTTTGTAGCACATCTTGTTTTTTAATTCAATTTTGGCAGATCTTGTTTTGGTGCCTGGAAGTCTTTTGGCCTCAATGGTGCTCAAAAGCAGTTCTTCATAAAGTCCCAAAGAATACAAGAGATCTGCAGGGCTGCACAGATGCAACAGAGGTTGTGTCGTGTGCAATGCAAGTAAAGAAACGTGTAACTTTAGGTGCTTCTTCAGGTTGTTTTTATGAAATAAGAAGCCAAGGAGACGCTTCTGGTTTGGTAAAACTCTACTAGAGTGCACCAAAGTTCAATCAGGTCGTCTGGATGGGTTTTTTTTAGACGTTTTGTCCTTCATCCAAAGGACTTCGTCAATCCGAGGTGCCACAAACAAACTCAGTCCAACAATCAGCACTTTCCTATAGTGGACCAACCAGTTTGCTGGTGATAAGATGGTTTCTGGGGTTCGTCAACTCCTCTGACACAACCATAGCCAAAGTGGTTCAAAACATCAAAGTCCATGCTCAATAATCCAGGTAAAAAATTCAACACATTTCAGTCAGGTCATCTGAACTATTTTTTTGTTTATTGAGACGTTTCACAATTTATCCAAATGACTTCATCAATCTGAGGAGCCACAAACAAACGCAGTCCCACAAGCAGCACACTCCCATGATTCCCCTCAGATTGATGAAGTCCTTTGGATGAAGTATGAAACGTCTCAACATGAAAAGAAACCGTCCAGATGACCTGACTGAACTTTGTTGGATTTCTTAACCTGGATTATTGAGCATGAACGTTTACGTTTTGATCCACTAGAGTGCATTCTTCTTTCTCGCCTCTTGGCCGATTATAAAAACCCCAATTCTGAAAAAGTTGGGACGTTTTGTAAAATGTAAATAAAAAACAAAATGCAATGGACTGCTTATCTCATAAACCTATAATCTTCACATCATAGAAACATATAAAATGTGTAAACCAAGAAACTGTACATTATATATATATATATATATATATATATATATATATATATATATATGTTTGTATACATATAAAGTGTTTTTAAACTAGATAGGAGCAAAACATTTTAAAAAAAGTTGAGAGATGGCCATGTTTCCCTCTGTGAAGCATCCTCTCTTCTTCTATCAACAGTCTGTAAACCTGTTAGAAGTGAGGAGACCATCTGCAGGAGGTTTTAGAAGAGAATGTTGCCCCAGTCTGATGTAGGAGACTAGCTCTTCAACAGTCCTGGCTCGTCTTTGCTGGATTTTTGTTTCATGATGCCCCAAACGTTTCCACATGGTGAGAGGTCTGGACTCTCACCAGTTCTGCATCTGGACTCCTCTTCTACAAAGCCATGGTGTTGTAATAGAAGCAGTGTGCAGTTTTGCATCGTCTTGCTGAAATATGCAAGACCTTGCTCAAAAAGATGTCTAAACAGGAGCATATCGTTTTAAAACTATAAATTGTACTTTTCTGCATTGATGGTGCTTTTCCAGATGTGCAAGCTGTTTATACCAGAGGCACTAATGCACTCCAGTACTTTCAGAGGAGAAGGCTTTTGGATCTTTGCTTTCCTTAAATAATTTTACATTATGGTTCATCTGAACACAGGAAAGTTTTCCACTTTGCCTCAGACCATTTTAAATTAACGATGGCCAAAGAAAGACAGCAACATTTCTGGATGTTCTTCACCTGTGGCCTCTTCTTTACATAATAGAGCTTCAGTCAGCAGTTTAGGATGGCACAGTGAGCTGTGTTTACAGACAATGATTTGTGGACGTGATCTTGAGCCCATGGAGTGACATCCATAACAGAATAATAATAATAATAATAATAATTATTATAATAATGACGTGTTATGTCTTGTCATCATTGTACAGTATTTTTCCATACAATGGCGAAATTGGCTCTCTGCATTTAACCCATCCACCCCAGGTGGAGCAGTGGGCAGCTATTGAAAGCACCCGGGGAGCAATTGGGGATAGGGTGCTCTGCTCAGAGACACCACGAGATGTGCAATGACTGGGGGATCGAACCTGGGACTTTCGGGTACCCGTTTGGCTGCCCTGCCTCTGCCCAGAATCAGACCTGTTTATCATGCACTGTCCCTTGAAGGTCACCGACATCCAATAATGACTCTTAGCCTCGTCCTTGGAGCTCAGAGATTTCTCCAGTTTCTTGAAATTTTGGATGGTTTTGATTTTGACAGATGCAAAACCTGCATGTTAGGCTGCCTTCAGGCCTCCCTTGTGATCTCAATGGGATTTGCCTGCTTAAATAGAGTTTAATGATAAATGGTATTATAAACTGTAGATGAAGGGATATTCAAATTAATCCCAGTTTTCATTAACCTGAAATTGTTCTGCTATTTGTAGATGTAGTTAGTTGCAGACTGGTGAACCTCTGCTCATCTTTACTTCTGAGAGATTCAGCTTCTCTAAAATGATTTTTAATATCCAGCCCTCTTATTGACCTGTTGTAACCTAACTCGTTGCAAAATGCTGTTCCAGCTGTTTTTATTTGTACTACTGACGATGGCAGCCATTTGATCCCACTGTCTCAAGTTTCTTTTTAAAAATATTTCTCTCATCAAAAATAAAATGCATATTTATTTTTCATAAAAATGTACAGAATCTTAGTTTAAACATTTGTTGTTTTACTATTTTACACTGTGAATAAAATACGGCTTTACAAAATTTACTAATCATTGCATTTCATTTTTATTTGTGTTTTAGACAATGCCTCAACTTTTTCAGATTTGGGGTTGTAAATTATTTCCCATTTTCTGATCTGCCTATTATGACCAATCTTTTCTTTTGTTTTCCCAGACTACGTCAGTGGTTATCTGAGTCCAAATCCTTATGATGACGTTGTGGGAAGTGACTCATCGGTCATCTCTAAAGTGCCCTCCCCCAGCCACTCCTCCATTATCTATGGTCACATTAACAACACCTATTCTGGTATCCATGGTGATATCCATAGTGATATCCATGGTGATTCAGACCAGCCGGACAGCCCGAGGTCCGAGGTCTCATCATCAGCAGGTGGATACATTAATGGGGATACAGCCGTGAGTGAAGGATACTCAGTAGATGCGTTCTTCATCATGGACGGACGTTCCAGAAGAAAAGCAACGGGAACTCCAAGGGGAGGAGCGACTCAGAGGCACACCTGCAGCGAGTGCGGCAAGACCTATGCCACGTCCTCTAACCTGAGTCGACACAAGCAGACGCACAGGAGCATAGACAGCAAGATGGCCAAGAAGTGCCCCACGTGCGGCAAGGTCTACGTCTCCATGCCCGCCATGGCCATGCACCTGCTCACCCACGACCTCAAGCACAAGTGTGACGTGTGCGGCAAGGCGTTCAGCCGGCCGTGGCTGCTGCAGGGCCACATGCGCTCGCACACGGGCGAGAAGCCGTTCGGCTGCGCGCACTGTGGGAAAGCGTTTGCCGACCGGTCAAACCTGCGCGCTCACATGCAGACGCACTCAGCCTTTAAGCATTACAAGTGCAAACGGTGCAACAAGACCTTTGCGCTCAAGAGTTACCTGAACAAGCACTACGAGTCTGCATGCTTTAAGGGGGCGTTCTCCCCATTAAGCTCACTCAGTGAATGATGGGTTTATTTTCTGTACCCACGTTAGCTTGTTTTCTGCTTTAGCCCCTAAAAGTGCCCAAAAAGGTACAAAAAATAAGTCGACTTGGCTAATGAATCTCCTCAATGCCTTCATGCGGAGGTTGATAGGACAGTTTTTCTCATTTGATTTAGATTGTCTTGTTTCAATAAGATTCACCCGTATTAGATTCTGTGAAGATAAATAAAGCACAGCACATCTTTTCTGAAAATCTATTTACGTCCACAGCAATCCTCATCCACTTTTTTTCTACCTGTGAAGACATGACACAAAAGCACAATCGTTCTTTCATGTCTTTGTTTCGGCGACAGCTGCTCGAGAGTTAAAGTGTTATTAGTTCTCCTGCACAGAGATTCAGAAAACACTTTTATTTTCTGTTTCATTGGAAGCAAATATTTAAATATCTGAGGTTGCTTCTGTTTTGCTCTATGTCTAGATAAACTTTGTATTTTTTCAGATTTGGGCTTCTTTAGTAAAATCAAGGAGGTAGTACTTCAGGATCAAATGGTTCATAACATTCACTCAACCACCAAGTTACTCCTTAACAATATTTTCTAATTGTTTCAATCTCATTGTTTGTCGTTTTCAAAAAATAGTTTTTTTAAAAGTGTCAACGTTGTTCCAGTTTTGCAACAATGTGATCAAGCAACTCAGTTTTTAGCTACAATTTATTTTTAAACGTGTCTATTTATTGCCTTATTTAATAATTTATTCATCTGTATCATTTTGTATTATTTTGCACTTTATTACAATTTTTTGCCTTTTGTTACAAATATGCCAAAGCATTTGACACTTTCTAAAATACTGAGTACCTTTTTTATGTTCTGCCACTTTATTTACACAAATCCTTGCATGCAAAAAAAAAAAAAAGTCCAAATAATGGAATCTATGCCAACTTTGGGATCGTTTGCCAAACGTTTTAGGTAACTGGCACAATTAAGCAAAATTCTTTTGTCTTGGGCAATATTTCATTCTCACCTGTTTGAGCAATAATGCATGAAGTGTTCAAAGAAGTCAAACCTGCTTATAACATCTTCAATATTTTCCAGCTACTACAGTTCTGTAGTTGCAAGATATCACATTTCAGGGAGTTTGCGAACAAAGCTTGTCTTAATGAGTGCGATGAAGGGTTTAGAGCTCCAAATACGCAGGAACTGTGGCGTTGCTGTCGCTCCTCGGGGCTTTTTCTGGGACTTTTGTGAACCGATCGTTTGTAGAAGGATCAAAGCAGAAACTGTAGGGGCAGTTTTCTGATTTCAATCTCTGCTGCTTTTTATGTAAAAATATCTAAAATAAAATAAAAAGCCTGCTAGTTACAATTATATCGCAGCATCCTTAGCTTATTGACGACGACTACATCTGTACTATTAGGAACAGCTGATGCTTCTGGGATTCACACAAATAATTCAGCTCGTTTATTTGGAGAGCTCTGGGTTGGGTCGGGTCTTTTGTACATGGTTTATGCACTGCCTGCCTCGTATTATTACTCTAAAATATTGTAGAAAGTAGAAGGTAGATCTCTGGTGCTGAAAAACGTGAACAAAAAACACAAACCCAGACTGTGAAAAGTTAAATGAATAGTTCAGATTTTAATTGCTGTATAGATTTTTTTTTTAAACTTTCTCAGTTTGGAGAAGAATTTGTTTCGTTATAATTTTTTGTTTGTTTGAATGGATTAAAGAGCAAAATCCATTTCAAAGCCAAAGTGTTGTTGCTGCCTTAAAAACAAGTTCAGTTTGATTTTTTTTTATAATGTTTTGTGCAGATCACATTTAAGAAACCTTTACATTGTGGTTACTTTTACATTGCATAAGTATTTACATTGAATTCTTTGGTTATTTGCATCCAGGACGTTTTTAAAGAGGCCATTACTAATCAAATCAAAAGCCATTACATGGTTTCAGGTGTTTATTATGCAGTCATACATGAACTTTAAAAAATATTACAATCAAAGCGTTACAAAACGGACTTCAAATATAGGCTTAACTATATTTTAGAAGTTACTTTACAGTTGATATAACCAGCTGAGTACAGCCCAGTACTCAACTCATCAGAGCTCCTCTCCTCTATTGAAGTCAAATTCATAAATAAAACCATAAATAAAGCATGTTTCCTATTAAAAACCATGCTTATCGCCCATCGTCTTATATGGCAAAGCATTAAACTAAAATCTTGCCAGATATTTTAGCTACCACACCAATTTGTAGCTCAGTATCTGTAAAACAACTGTTGTAGTCATTTTTGTGCTTGCAAACAAGAATTAGCTGAATGAGCTTAATTAGTGTTAGATTAACTCCTAATGTTAATCAGTTGAAGATGTACATTTAATTACTGTTTTATCAGTTTCATTAAAATCTGTCCAGTGGCTCAGGAGATATTTTATTAACAGATAGGATATGCATTAGGGATGTGCGATATGGCATACATTTCATATCACGATATGTATTGTGATGAGTGGTGGTAACGATATATATCATGATATGTTTTTGGTATAAAACTTGCAATCAGAATGAACAAAAAAAAACATAGGGTGTCCTTTTGTCAGCATTTATTTTGAAAACTGCTATTCCACAAAATAATCTCAATTAAGAAAATTCCACCACTAGGTCCAGAGAGTTTTTAAATAAAAAACAAATCAAGTATTAGGATTCTTTCTTGTAGTGCAAAACAATGCAAAAGATATCAAATGTAGTTTTATGCATATGTTTTAAAGAAAAATAATATGTTATTAACTGTTAACAGTTTCCAGTCTTCTCACTTAAGAAATGAACAGGAACAGAGCATTTTACATATAAGAAAGTGCACACTGAAAACATGTAACAAAACTCAAATTCAAAATCTCACTGTCATTTGTTAGAGTCTAAAGATTGTTGTCCAAGAGCACTAGCTTGTCCACAGTGTCTGGCTTTAACAGAAACCGGTGGCATGAAACAATGTTGCCACCGATGCTAAATGTCCTTTCTGAAGGAGTGCTCGTGGCTGGAATGCAAAGTTATTTCTTGGCCAGTCTTGCCATTCTTGGAAAATTAGCCTGGTGCAGACCCCACCTGTCCAGTGAGTCAGTTTCTGACAGACGAAGGTTTGACTTCAAAGGCAAAGGAGGGGTTCCTCCAGTGGGCGTCTCCTGCCGCTTTAAAGAGAGTTGACACAAAATGGCCACCAGTTTCTTTTGTGGTTTTGACCAGAGGGTCTCGCAGTAAAATCATACAACGCAGTGTTTTTTTAACAGATCAGAGAGCAGGTTTAACCTTTTTTATTTAGCACAAATGCACTCTCTAAAGCTGACCAACGCTTACTTTAACTTTCCATGGAACACAGCGTTTTGCGCATGCGTCCGAATACGGCAACAGTATAGCAAGCCGGCTGTAGTTAGCGTGTAGCTTCACTACTTAGCTCTCGAAGAAAACAGACGTTAACGCCATTTACACAGTTTTCAACAACAACAAGAAAAAAAAACTAACGGTTAAATCCGACAACTGATTTTACATCAGACACAGCATTACTGCGGTTAGCCAGTAGAATACAGATATCTATCATAGAATAAATGTCTATCGTTTCTACCATGTACCGTATATATCACACATTCCTAATATGCATATAAGAATGTTTAGCCAGAGGGGACAATAGGGGACAGCAAATTTATAGAAGAGGTCAATGTCCAACACCACACCCTCCTCAATCCTGGCCCACTGTTAATGGTGTCCATAGTTGTCTGCAATTGGAAACAGTTGCCTGATGTTGCATATTTCTACCAGAGTAAATGTAACACAATGTAAAGGTTTATAAATCATGAACTGCTTCAGTGTTCTTCAGACTGTAGCTGTTTTAAATCTGCAGCAGCAATCTCTTTCGGTACTGGCTCTGCTCAGACTAGCTGTTAGTTCATCAGTCTGGTCAAAAATAAGCTCTGTTTCTCCAAACTGAGGTAGCTCAAAGTGTTATCTACAGCAGGTGAGATACTAACTGTTCATAACCCTTCCACCAAACCTCACTTAAAATGGTTTTGCTACTTTTTTTCCATTGGGGTTATTCTCCTTGGCATATTTTAAGAAAATATCTATAATAGTTGCAATGCTGAATGGTCTCTTTGACCGTCATAGAGTTTTGAGCAGATCCATGACCTTTTTGAATCCAAGCTAAAGATCACTTTTGCTCCTGGGCTTTTATTGAAGACAATAATTTACAAACTTTATGTGAAGACTCATAAAAATCCCTTCATGATATCTGTTTTCTTTTTTCTTCAATCATCTCTGGCTGTTATGGGTTTGTTGAGATGTTTGGTTAATATTTCAGCACCAGAGAGCATCACTGAACACTTAGTTTCTACTACGAATTACTGTAGCCTACTATAGCCACAAGCTAGTATAAATATTCTTATATAAAAGCACTTCTTGTTATAAAATATATCCTACCACTTTTGTTTTTTTTTTGTATTTTTTTTTCCTCCAGAAAATAGTAGCACAACAAAAGTTTAGATTCAGGTAGAAAATGCCTTGTATGTAGAAATGACAACCTCTTTCTCACTTTTTTCTATTACAAAAAACATTAAAAACTCTGACAATGCTGACGTAACACAGGTCATATTGTGTATAAATGACTCACAAAGGTAAAATACACTTCCAGTATACAGTATGTTGTGCCATTTTTAAAAATGTCTGCAAAAGAAAAAAAAAAGTTTTTTAGAGCAAATGAGAATGAGACTATTTTGTGGCAAAAGGCCTTGTACATAAGAACTGCTGTGACTTTGGACTTGGATTCTTTCTACAGATCTGTACAGTGTGAAGATGATGACGATGATAATGACGAATATTTTTTTCTGGAGCTTCCTGTTTTGAGTTCTTCCTCTGAGGTTTTTCTGGACCTCCAGGCTGGTTTGAAATGATGTAAAGCACAATGACAACACTGGGCATTTTGTTTCACTTCCTGAATAAAAAAATGGTTTGGAAAAAAAAAACACATCTGGAGAATTTGTCTCTCTTTGT